AGATAAGTTTTCCCTGTAATGCTATGATCCACAGCTGTCACCTCCTCATCAAGAGGAAAATGGATAAAAACTAACTACTCGATCGTACCTGCTGCTTAGCTGACACAACGGCACACAACGGAACTCACGTTTTATACCAGTACCGATGCTTTAACTTGTGACTTTTCCACGACTAGTACTAGGACCTAACGGTTAAAACATAGGCAATAAGCAGGGAGTGGAAGGGAGGAGCTTGAAAATAATTTTACTGGAAGTACGTCATTAATGACCGTGGCATATAGGCTATTGGGAGCAAAGGAAGGACGCATTTGTCGACCGCATCTGAAGGAGCCTTCAGACAGAAATGAATTGGGATGGCCTAGTTGCTGCGCTATGACGTAATCGGTCTACAAATGCGGCCAAGCAAGGACCCAACCCCTGAATTGGACACAGAGACGGACTGGATAACAACCTGGCATGTTCCTGTGTGTAACACCATGGGTTGCGGTGAAAACGTGGATTGGATTTATATCAATACTTGTATTTTGATAATGAGAAACTGGACCTGAGTTGAGTTTTTGGCGTTTGTCAGTTCTCAGCATGAGAAAGTGGGGTTGTGGCATGAGAGCGTGATCCTCAGATGCGTGTGTCACCCTCAATGCGTGAGACTTGAGAGCCCTATAAAACACGTTTTACATGGTGAAATGTGACTGATGAAAACTTAGGAGCTTAATCCGACACCATTTTGACGATGAATAATGTCGGGTGACGAGTCTTTTTTTTTTTTCACATTGGACTCCACCGAGAAGAATTTCCATGCCTGCTTAAATGTTCGCTACGTCAGAACTTATTCGGCAAATGTGTTTCTATCTCTGCTTTTGCGCAATAACTCTTACAGGATGGGGGGAATTGGTCTTGGTGAAGGTTTGCACTCACAGAGTGCTTAATTGTAATCATGTTTTTGATCTGAGTTTGTTTTATGGAATGAAATGTCCGAATGAGTGCTCATCCAAGACTGGTGATCCCATACTTTTTGCCAGGGGTTGTAGAAAACAGCTGTCAAGATGCAAGCCATTTTTTGACCTTTTGCAGTCCCTATGTTTATTGTGCAGGTTCCATTCAAAGATTGAACAGATTTTCCAATAACACAGACATCAACATAGACATGACATTAAAATCACTCTCAGCCACACGGTGTTACAGTGCAGATGCATGTAAAACCAATTGTGGGAATTATGTACAAATAAGGGATATACTTGAGAGCATATCATGACACTGGAGAAAAGCTTGACACGTAATGAGGCACTGAGTAAAAATGTGCAGTCTTGAGATGGCATTTCACTAGCAAGGACCACGCCACAAAATGTGTTTAAAGATTTTGTTAAAGGAAGGGGTTGAAGGGATGAATGACGAGATGTCTGGGTAGGTGCGTGGATGAAGACTCGAGAAGAAGACTCAGAGTGGGGCACAGTCTTCAGAAGAAGCTTTACGGAGCCTGCATATGACACCCCCCCCC